TCAGGAATCTGAGGACCAGTGAATCTGCTAATTAGCTGGGCTTTAAAAGCTGACAGGAAATCAAAATGTGGAGGGTCATGGTGTGCAAGGAAGGACTTGTCTGTCTCCTCTGCCTGGTGGCAGAGAGAGTTGCCCAGGCTGTGACATTACAGGTCTCATCCTGTTTGTGGGACAGACCTACAAGGAATGAGGTGGGAATGAGGGGGCAGTGGTGTATCCTGTGACTCCCTGTGTGTCAGGGGCTTCCCAGAGCTCTGTGATCCATGCTCTGCCCAAACAATGCCAGGAATAGCCAAAGCCAGCCCTGAGGAAGTGCAGGATCAAGGATCCTTTCAGTCAGGCCCAAGCCTGTGATAGTCAGGGATTGAAGTTCTCATTCCTGAGGCAGATTATAAATATTTACTGGGAAATACTCACTATGTGCACAGTAAGTAAACACTTACTATAAATGGGAAATTATTAGGGAAGATGGTGTATTTCTGAGATCATGGGGACTTGTCACCTTTTTCTGATCATATTCTGTTATAAAATGTGTCTTTTGCTTTGAGCACCATTAATGGTGCTTTTTAAAGGCCCAGAGTTAAAACACCAGCTCTACACCACGGCTGGAATATAGTTATTTCCATGTGACTAACACAGCAGTATTTGTTATAGACAATATATTTAATTCTTCAGGAGAGGTGGAGAGTGATCTGGGAGACAGCTGGTTCTAATAAAAACTCAGAGCAGTTCACTTGAGGCTTCTACCTGTACATGGCCAGTTGATATTTTGAGTCCCAGTTTGGAGAAGCAGCTTCAAGCTTTTTTATTTTTTTTTTTTATTATTTTTTTTTTTTTAGTTTCCAGAGAACCTGTTCTACACTCTTCAAAACAAGGGCATTATTCCTACTAACAGTAGCTGAGTAGAGAATTTGTGACAGAGAAAACACACCTGAGGGAAGCAATGGGAAAGGGAGATGATAAGAAAAGTGGGGGAAATGGAGAAACCCTCAGAAAGCAGCTTCAATATTTGGGGTTTCCAGTTGTTCTCTTCACTTTTAAACCTTGTGTGGTTTTGGAGCTACGTGGGCACAAACACAGAGTGACCAGGGCAGAGATGAGAGCACATTTTCAACGTTTTCAGAGTCTTTTTTTTCAGCCTCTGCTCGTTATAAAACAACCAAAGGAACCCAAGAGGAAGATTGGGAAAGAAAGGAATTAGGAACACTTGGGGTAACTTGAGGGAGAGAGAAAGTTTGTGAAGTTCAGAAAATATGGATCACAAAAAGTTGAAAATTCCTAATTTCCTCTCAGGAAAAAAAGACCTGCTGCTCCTTTCCAGAGTGCAGGGAATGATGGGAATGGGAGGGGCAGGAGAAGGAGAAGCATTTCAGTGATTCTGAACTGAAAACCTCTTTACAATGAGAGTGGGGAGGCCCTGGAACAGGTTACCCAGGAAAACTTTGAATGCCCCATCCCTGGAAGTGCCAAGGCCAGGTCAGACAGGGATTGGAGCAACCTGGGATGGTGGAATGAGATGATCTTTAAGGTCCCTTCCAGCCCGAACCGTTCTGGGATTCTGTGATGAAAACACAGCTTTTCATAGCAGAGCGTGTTTGATTCTCCTCCACCTCTTAGAGATGGAAGTTATATATGGAATTTTAGCTCTGGGGTTCCTGTATCTGGAGCCTAGTCCCTGTAACACATTTCTCCTGACCTTAATGGAGTTGTCTGTAATGCTGGTTAGCAGGATTTCTCTTTGGGAAGTGATATTTGAACTTTGGAGGCAGCAGTTGCTGCACGTGGGAAAGGGAAGGACTCTGATAATCCTGGTTGCTGCTCACCTGTTTGTCTGCCACGTGTTTGATGTGATGGTGGGACAGCAAGTGCTCAATAATTTACATACAGTGCAATCCAGCCCAGCAGAAATGCTGCATTATTGTTCCATTTAGCCCCATTTGAACTGATTGATCACCAAAGCTGCCGTTTGTCATCTATCAGCACGGGGATTATTTATAACTTCTGCTGAGCTCACGGAGTAACCCATCAATCAGCGAGCTGAGCTGCACTTCCCTGATTTGTAATGGAGATTTTAATGAGCAGGACCTGATCCTTTATTTAGTTATTTATTTTATTTTGTTTTGTCAATGCTTGAGCTTGAGGAGAGTAGCCAGAAGATACAAAGCTGGAGCTAAGGCTGAGAAGATAAACCCTCCCTTCTTTTCCCCCTTGCGTTGCATTACTGACTGTCACTATTGCAATATTTACTTTAGGGTACCACAAAAAGCAAAGATAACACTGTTAATTTTAGTAATGGGCTCGGTGGTGTCCAGGCAGCCCCTGGGGACGTTGGGTTTGGAGCAGGGAGAGGAGCTGGAGCAGGGGCTGAGAGCCAGGCCAGAGCCAGGCCATGCTGACTCTGGTGCTCTGGGTGGCACCTGTCCCTGGACACAGCCCAGCACTGTCCAGGTACATCCACTCTCAGACCTTCCCTTCCTGTCCCACAGTGGGATTTTAGGGGCTGGCTCCTAGTTCAGGTAGGCTCACAGTCTGAGTGCACTCCCACCTTATAGAGCTTGTCATGCTGGAGACACTACTGTGCTGCCAGCCCACTTCCCTTCCCCAAATCCATGGAAACCCCTCATTTATCCTCACCATCTCCCTGGCTTTCTCTGCAGTTCAGGCCAGGCTTTCTCTCTCCTCCATCCCTGCTTGCTCCTGACACTCTGGCTATTCCGTGGGAAGCCTAAAGAAGGAGCCAGGCCTGAGACACTGAGCAGTAAAATCCTCCCTGGTTAAAACCTGCAATCCCAAATCATTCTTTTGAGTGAAGAAAATGACATTAGTGATGGGCTGGAGGCAAATGAAACAGAACATGGGGGTGTTGGCTCTCCTAAAAATTTGAGTTGGAATATTGTTTCAATTAATTAAGAGATCCCAGGGTAGACCCTGTTTGGCTGTTGGTGACTTTCACACTTAACCACTGTGCAACCTTTGTTAAAAATGGCACTAATACTGAGGAGCAGAACTCATAGTGTGGAGCTCCCAGGGCCCATCCCCTGCCTGCTCCCTTATTAACATGAAAGAAAAGGAGATGGAACATAAAAAGCTGAAGGTCGCCCCCACAGTTGTCTCAGTGACAATCTGTGTGACTTTAACCCTGGTGGGGAAAAGTAATTACCCTTTGGCTCCTGCTGACCTCAACTAACCTTTGCTGAAGGACCAGAGAAAATAAAGGCTGACCAACAGCCTGCCCTCCCTGCCCTGTGGTTAACCTGCTCTGGGAATGAGGAACACCCTCCACAATAGGGCTGGAAAATGTTGCCATGGAAATATCGTCGGGAGAAGAAACAAAAATCTATTACAATTAATAGTGTTTTATTAGGTGACTGCTAGAGAACTGGTTAATCCATGGGAGTTGCTCTATCTGGAGATCTGGGGTCAGAAAATTTCAGGTGGAATAAAAGAGGCAGGGAGAGACTCCTCTTTACAAATTCAGGAGCGCTGCCAGGGCGGTTTGCAGGAGATAAAGGAACCCGGGAGCTGTTGTGTCCTGTGAGGGTGGGAAACGGGAGCAGGGAATAAAAGCACTTCCAGTACCTGCAGATGGAAACTGCCAGCTCTGCAGCTGGGCAGGAGGGCACTGCTCCACCAGGGTTTGGGGGTTATGTGGCACTGACCAGGGGCATTTTCCCTTCGGATCTCTGTTAAATTCCCTGCTCTGCTCCGGTTGGTGTTGGGCAGGATCCCGGGCTGCTCATTCCCGTGGGAGCTGCTTTGGTTGGAGCTGACAGTGCTGCACCTTGGCACGAGGAGTTCAGCAGTTTCTAACAAATACTGCTGCTTCCTTGGCCACGCAGAGGCAGAATTTGGGGACACATCAAAAATGTGGCTGTTGCTGATCCGCAGTATCCCAGTTCTTAGGGCACGGTAAAGCGTTTCAACCCAGCACACTCTGGGACAGTTCCTCGTTCCTGGCACAAATTACTTCCCCTCACCTCAGAAAGTTTTCAGTGTGTTTCTCTAGGTGTGTCCCTGTAGAACTTTAAATCCCCCTGCTGCTTTTAGAGGAATGAGGCACTGCAGCGTGTTCATTTGAAGACACGTTAACACACAGCTGCACGTGAATATTTCCTGGTATTGAAAGTGAATTAAAAATAACGCATTTGTTGAAACAAAGCCATACACCAGCTTCCTTTTTTCGGCCTTGTCCCAGAGAACAAGTGTTTCAAATGCTAAGAAGATGTTAACAGGAATACTTTGATTAGTATTACTGATAAGCTCCCATTAGTGTTAGTGGGAGAGAGCTGACTGTGTGTTTCTCCTAAGAAAAGCTGAAAGCATGTGAAGGAAATGAGCTGCACTAAACATCAGATTAAAATCTTTTAAAATGGTAGATAAGGGGTTTTTTTTCCCCCCTCCAGTATTTTTACGTGTCAGCTTCTATTAATGGAGCTGTGGGTTTTCACCAGGAGAACACTCCCCAGTTCATTTTCAAACGGGGATTTGCAAAGAGAACAGAAACAAACATTTGTTGGTGCAGGTAAAGCATTAGAACGATGTTCTGTGTTGCAAACACCATCATTTCAGTCACCTTTCTCTAATTGTAGCACTGCTAATCAGTGTTTGGAGTTAGTTTGCCATGGGGAGCCTCTGAGCCCAGAGAGCCCTGTTCCTGTGCAGGGCTGCAGCAGTGACAGTGCACTGGCCTTTGCTTTCTTATTTGTGTGAGGCTTTAAAATGAGCTCTGCTCACCTACTCACACACTTCCAAAGGCTTTGCTCAGGTTTCTGCGACTGCATAATTTGTGTTTCAAGTTCTCAGGACTGCAGAGGGGCAGGAGGAGGCAAACTGCCCTCATTAATTTCCCCCCAGAATTCCCGTTCCCTGGCTCCAAACAACAGTGTGTAGCTCACCTGGCCGTGGTGCTGTGCAGAGCCAGGACCTCTTTCCTTGGCTGCTTTGCTTTTTCCCGTGGGCTGGTGCCAAGTTTTCCTGGGATTCCCTCTCCGTTTCCAAAGGGTGAGGGTCCATGGTGCTCAGCACAAAAGTCAGGGAAGTCCGTCCTCATCCGTGGAGTTTTTGTTCTGTTGATTGAAGGGAGAGAGAAAGCAGAAGGAGAATTACAATCATTGCTCCGAGGTAAGCCTTTGGATAAACTGCTCTGTTCCAGGACTTGGGAGTTGGAAAAATCCCCTTGAATTATGCACAGCATTTTATTTCTGCAGTAGAAGTTGATGTTAGGGGGTAATTTTATTTCTACATCAGAAGTTGATGTTCAGGTGCCTTCACCCGTGGATCGTGTTCTGCCAGGCTTTGTTTGGTACACAGCCTTCATCTATTTTAGCCCAACATAATTCTAAGGCCTCAGAAATGTCTTAATTGATCAACATTTTCATTTGTGGGATTAATCAAGACAGAGGACTGAGGGTTGTAGGAACCATTAGTAGCTGAGTGTTTGCCACCGGAAGAATTTTCTAACTGAATTAAGAGTGAGCCGTGTGTGTTTATTCAGCTTTAGAAGGTGTTTCATACTTCCAGGCTCTGAAATATGTTGTTGCCTGCCATTGTCAGCTGAGTGGGAAAGGAAATACTCTGTTTGCAGGGGATTATTTCCCTGCATTCCTTTATTTTGCTGTGCCCATACAGGTGTATGTGCTGTTGTGCTGAACACGGGATAACTTACAGGAAAGGGGGAGCTGGGGGATATCAAAGCAAAACAGAATTGTTTTAATTCGAGTGCCAAGTCTGGTGACATGCAATCACATCCTTTAGAAAACAAAAACCTGTTCATACTCAGATTTTGCCAATATGTTCATTGATATTTCCCCCATCAAACACACAACTGTAGTTTAGGGGCTCCTGATTAATCTCACGAGCATTTTGTCACACGTTTGTTATGGGGAGTCAGAAAGGGAATGATTTCTGCTTTATTGGATCTGATAGATTCCCAGACATCTGTAAAATTCAAGGCTTTCAAACATCCCACAATTCTTACAGCTTTAATTGCTCTAACAGTGCACAACTGCTGTATTTAACTAGTGGCCTCCTATTGTTCTATGGCATTATCTAAAATATTCTGCTTCTCAAGACAAATAATGACAATACCGAGGCTTCAGTGTTGGATAAATGTCATAGAGCAAGAAAAGAGAATTCCTTCAGCCATCAGTGGTAATTGTGGCAAGAACATTAATTATAACAAGATTACTTCATGGCAAACTGTGATATTGAAAGTACTGGAGGAACATCTGATTCTGAAAATGTAAATCCAGCCTCAATATCCGAGGCACTGCAGAAATGTTTACGGGTTATTTTAGCAGTTGGCACACACCACAGAGGAGGGATTTTTAATAAAATACTTTGACATTTCTGCAGCAAATTACTGTCACTCTAAAGTCATCTCCTAGATATTTATTAGCAGCACAGCAATAAAGCAATAGAATATAGTTTGAGATAAGTGTTTATTGGTAGCCTCCATCACACAAACAGACAAGGAAATCTTTATCAGGGTGGGTTTGTTTTTAAATCAACAGCAGCATTAGATATCCTAAAAGTTAGCACAGTCATTAAATACCTTATGGTGCTGTATCCCTGGTAATCCAATTTACACAACTCTATTCTCAGCAGAAACTCCTGGGGTACAAGTAGTTCTCTTCAGTGAGCCCTTCCTGCTTTCTCTCGTCATGAAGCAGTGATGGTACATTTTTATCCTGTTGATAATTTGACCCTCTTTAAACTATTTCTCGTGGCCCCACTGGGCTGGTCTGGATTAGGGTGGAGGTAGCTGGAAGCCCGAAGGACTGCAGCCCATGGCTCATTCTTCCTGTGTGACCGGCCCTCAAGAGCCAACAGAGCATCATTATTCTGAGGCAGCAAGAGAAAAGCTGGTCCAGCACATATTCCACACATTTGCTACTCCTTCCTCCACGTCCTGCAGTGCCAGGGAGGGGGATTATTGCTGCGGAGGAAAAAAATCTGCCCATGGTGGAGGAATAATCACTGCAGTCCAGCTCCCCCCCACACCTCAGCCTGTGTCTCCTCTCTGCCTCCCTGTGTTTGAGGCCCCAGCTGATTCCGGCTGCATCCATCCATACATAAATCATTGCCCTTATTCTATTGGTTACATGGTACATGGCAAGTATTGATTTTTTCCCTTGCCTCATTGCTGGAGAACCCTTGGTTTTTGTGAGGCTGAAAATGCAAAAAAATTTACTTGGGGTTTTTTTCTGTCGCCGGAGATCTCGTCAAGGGACAAAAATGACAAGAGAGGAAGGTGCTATTTTAAGGGCTTGTGTGGCTTAAAAATCTTCTCCTCCTCTGTTCCCCTCTCCCTTTGCCTGTGTCCCAAAAAGTCGTGGCTTGTTTAATCCCTGCTGCTTTAGGTGGGCTTTGCAGCCTGAGCACCAGGGGAATAAGCAAACAGAACCAGGGCCTGGCTGTTCTGAGCAAGGCATTGCTTAATTATTAAAAGTTTAATTATCTTCTGAAACATTTTTAAAAAAAGATAAAGAATAATATGAAAATAACGCCATTTTAAGGGATGAGGTGACTCTCAGGCACAGGATGCTGTAGAAAAATGGACATTTGTTTCCCTTCTGCATAACACAGAGATAGAATATTTGGCTTAATTCTTGAGATTAAGCCAAATGGTCTTTGTGGCATTTTGAAACCTATTTATTAACTATTTATCGGGGAGATTTCTGGATCAAAATAATTTTTCTCAGCATTCAAAGCTGCCTGAAAATGCCTCACAAAAGATGGCACCTCGTTTCCTCAAAGAAAGTGTTTCTGAGGAACACAAAGCCTGGGTTCTGAGGCAGAATATGAGATGTTCTCCTTCAGCAAGAGCAAATTCCCTGGTATGAGACTCTCTCTTCCCAGGAGCCTGGTCCAAACCACACTGGAGTCACCAGGAATGTTTTCATTGACTCTGTAGGTGCTGGGTCAGCCTCAGATTACACAGAAACGGAGATTTTCCTCTTTTCTTTTTCTCTTTTTTATGCTTTCCCCCATTTTGAAGAAGCAGTGAAATGGGATAGGATGGGTGGTTTAGAGATGGGTGCAGAACATTATTATATTTAATATGATCTGATTTTAACACTTTTAAATGAGATGTATTGAAATATATATTTTCTTTAATGCCTGAACTGCACAGTCTGAACTTTCTCTGCCTTAGGACATTCCCAACTGCTGGATTTTGTTTCTGTGCTCCTTCAAACCCCGTTTCTGGTTGAAGTTCACTCTTTTCTCAGTGCAGAAGGAGGGTTCCTTGGCTGGTTGAGACATCCTGAGGTTTTTAGTGTGGCTGGAGGAGTTCCCTTCTCACAGCTCAAGGGGATAATGCAAGTCTGAAGTTCCTCACAGCGAGGCAAGACTTGGTCCTGTTCACTGGGGGTTTGGAGCAGAACTGGCTGCAGAATTCCTCCCTGGAAGTTCCTGAGGCTTAATTATTGAAATCTTCCAAACTGAGTTGTTCCCATATCACAGCTTATTGTAGGAGGGTGTGGTCATGGGAACAGCCTTCTCTGCCCTGCTTTGTGACACCCAGAAGGCATCAGAGCAGCCAACTTCCATCTGCACATCTCCCGTGGAGGAAACAAGTGTTGGTTTATTCATTTCCTGGAGAATGGACACGAGAATTTACTGAATCACAACAAGAGGTAGAAGGTAGCAACCAGTAATTATAGCTTTGGAAATCAGGGCTGAGGACTTTCACCCTCACAGGCTTTCAGAAATAGGTGAAACAATTAAGAGCTCCTGCTTGTGACACATGGGGAGAAATTGCTGCAGGACCTCGTGTACATGTGGAAGTTTGACCCCTATGATGCTGCCAAGGGCAGTGCTGTGCTTAGCAAGCCTTAGGCACAAAAGTGTTTGGCTCAGCTCAAACCTGGATGCTGCATTTTCTTAAAAAGAAAATTAAAAAAAGCCCCAAATCCCGGCCCCAAAAAGGGAAATAGTAACACCAAGTGGATTTTGGAGGAGGACCCGCCTCTTTTTCTGTTCTCCTCAGCTTGTTGTGTAAATCACCCTCTTACACCCAGCAAATTAACTGCACTGCTAGGGAAGTGTTGTGGATTTATCCATTTTAATAAGAGTGGGATACAGTGCCCCTTCATTTAACCCATGCTCAGTGCTGCATAAGATCCCAGGAAACTTATTCAGCAATAATTTTAAATCCCATCCCTGGGAAGAAAAGGAGGAAAAAAAAAAAAAAAAAGAGCTCAGGACTCTACAGTTGGAGCCTGTAGTTGCAATAAAATGCAGGAAAAGGTTATTTTACCTGAATTTATCGCTTAGCAACCAAGAATCCACCTCCTGAGACTGCAGCCTCTGGGTTACCAGGGAACTGGCCGTGACAATTATCCAACAGCTGGCCCAGGAATCTCCATAGCCTTTAACCCCTGTCAGCTGAGAGGTGGGCTGCTGGCAGCCACAAACAATGGGAACACACCCTGCGATTTTATGGAAGAGCTGAGGGAAGGCACAGCTGGATGGATCCTCAGCCAACTGCTCCAGTGTGCTGAGAGTGCTCCGGGCTCCATCCCTGCCCTTGGGCTCCAACAACTGAGGCCAAACTGTCAGGACAGGCTCTGCTGTTGGGAAGGACTGGGAAGTGGGTAATTAGAAAGTGTGGCAGTAATTTACGATTTTTTTCCCATTAAATAATTGTGCTTATCTTGGTTTTTTTCTGATTGATAATTCCACTGATTATCAGTGAGAGGGAACACTGTCATATATCCAGGTAATAGAGGAACGGTTTGGAACGAGGGGAAAAGCATCATTAGCACTGGGAAGATAAAAGTAATGGCAAAAAGAGTGCTGAGCTTGGGTATTGAGAGGAGCTTCTCGATAATGAGGTGGATTATGGCTGGGGGTGGCATCCCAAAGGAAACGAGGGAAACCCCCAACAACAACATGGGAAGGGAGCTGGGAACTGAGTATAATGCTGGGAATGTTCTGTACACTGCTGTGGGTGTCAGGCCTTGCTCCTTCCCCCTGTCTTCGTTTCTACTTTCTGTATTTTATAACAAAATGACAAGTTTTGGTAACAAAATTACAGCTGGCAGCAAACCTGCACCAATTTGCAGATGCAGCATTTGACACCGTGGCTTCAGACGCCCTGAGAGATCCATGGCCAG